GTTTTATCAGGATGTCCAAATCAACGCTCTCGACCCCATGAAACTGAAGGAAGGTAAAATCTGTTGCCTTCTTTAAGTGACAGAAATATTGTTTATAATGTTTCGTTGAGGAGACTTTTGATGCGTACAAAATTAATTGCTTAATAAAAAGAATGTCTTGTACCCTTTTAACCATGCACCATTTCTCACCACACCATTCTGAATTTTCTAATGAACAGGGTGTTTCATGAGTGAGGGTGAGGGCCGTCTCAAATTAAGGGCATTAAAAGATTTCTCTAATGGATAAACTCAAGCAGGTTAAGAAAAGTGTTTTAACAGTAACTGCCCCCAACCGGTATCTCTGGAGGATGGAGCTGGTAGTGCTGAGTGAGGTGGGAGGGGTTGCTGAAACACTTCCCACAGAGCTGGCATTGGTAAGGAATATGAGCATGAACTTCGCAGCGCTGGACCAGATAGGAGCTCTGACTGAAAGCTCGGCCACAGTCACAGCACTGGCAGGCTCTCTCCCCTACACAGCCATGCTTCCGCTGATAGTGAATGACATGTGTCCTATGGTGCATCGCAGGGGAAATAGACTTTGCCAACTCATGGACTCTGAGATGCTGAGAGAGATGCACTCAGTGGATGAAAGCTTTGGCACACTCAAGACATTCACAGAAATCGACCTGACCCTTGTCACCCACCCAGGGGCCTTTACAAGCTGGGGGAAGGTTTCTTACCTACATTACACCCCTCAGGCCTCTCACCATAATGACTCTTGAGATGTCTGTTGAGGTGGGGCTTGAGGAAGAAGGCTGCATCACAATGGGAACATTTAAAGGGCCGTATTCCTAAGTGGAATGACTCGTGCATCCTGAGGTCTGCTTGGGTCTTAAAGACTCTCTGACACACACTGCATCTGATGGGTTCCATCGGCTCAGGGCTGGCGCTGGTTCCAGGAGTCGAGGTATTCAGGGGCTCCATTCCCTGAGGACTGGAGAGATCAGAGCACTCCTCATCTTCTTCACCGCCAAGGCCTCCTTCCTCAGGGAAGGTCCCGGTGTCACTCTCTGTCACAGGACTGAGGACCAGCTCTTCCTGGCTGTCCTGCTGTGGTTCCCATGGATCGTCAGAAGATTCTCCTACAAAGACACAGCAGAAGTTACCTACTGGGAGACCATCCCTCCCTGTGCTATGGCTGGTTCTTCTACAGGGCACTCTGCTCTGGGGTCAGTTCTTGGCTTTCAGGGATCTTCTCCAGATACAGAAATACCATAAAGTCTCCTCATCTTCTTACTCAGAAACACACATCATTACGGGAGAAACAGATGGAAACTGACCCACATGACCTTTTGCAGGTTAAGGTCTGGAAACGAACGTAAAGAATAAAGATCACAAAAGAATGGGCAGGAAAATAAGCAACAAAGTGTGCACAGATTCCGTGTTGGGGCTCTATGCTGATGAAAACACCACTGACACAGAACAGAATGAAGACCACAATGCACACGTCACCATTCACCAGCATTTCCAAAACCGTGCTCAGTCCATCACCCGTATGTGGAAAGCACAGTAGCTGT